AAAAAAAACATTAATGACCTTAACTTGATTTTGACAAGGTCACTCAAGGTCAAGTCCACATTTCCATCATGTGTCCCTCTTCAAACCATGCAACTTTCGATGGAAAAATCAACGCCACACTGCGTGATTTCTGTGGACTTTCGCGCGAATTTTTCATAATCGACATGTTTATTTAAACTTTATAGTATATTTATCTTACTTTATGCGGCATGAAATAAGTAAAAGTTTACAAATCATTTATGCTTACTATGACATCACATCAGGATTACGAATTCTTTCAACAAAATTCGGTATATCAAAATCGACATTTGTTTACCCAAATTTTACAGTATATTTATCTTACTTTATGCGGCATGAAATGAAGAAAAATTTAAAAATTATTTAAGCTTTCTATAGCATCACATGATAATTGCAAATGTGCATCATTATACGATGTATTTCATTTAATTATGTATGATGTAAATATTTCATATAGCAATATCGTAAAACGAATATTATAGATCTGAAGATATATTTTCATACATATGTTTTTGTAATTCTATAACAAAAAATTTAATCATTCAAATAACCTAAATTTTATATTTTCCTTAATATAAACGTTTTCGCTTTTATAATGTCATAAATGATTATAAAATTGTTCTAAATTTTCAGTAAATTAATTTGTGCATATCGTGATCGTCATACAAGTCTATCTGGGAAGGCTTATGAACTTTCTTTTTGATATTTATGGTTATGCCAGGACAGAATAGCTTTTGGTTGTCCTGTTCAAGTGGATTTGTCGAGAATAGATCGGCAGACGACGCGACGTGATGGGGGCCGTGATCCAACGTTTCTGCCAATCTGCGTCAAAAGCGTCGTTCGAGATATTATGGCGAGGATATAATTCTTATTACGTCGTGGCGAAGAACGTCTTCCTTTGTGAATTGCCGCCTTTCGCAATAGCTGCTTTCTAACAAGGCAAAAAAGTACATTAATTGCGCGCTGTGTTGCGGTATTATTAAATTCTTATGGAAATGCAGGTATACCGGGGGCCCATCTCATAAAGTTCGCTATTGTGTTATAAAATCTAAATAATTTCAAGTTCTCTAGCGGCGAGAGAAGAAAAGGGAGGGGATACGAGTGCAGAGTAAGGTTTTCCACCCGCCACTTTCCATCGTACCACTTCGGACGAGCGAAATATCCAACGGGGGTATAAATGAGCCAGACAGATCGACGGAGAAGAAAAAAAATAGATCAGGAAAATGACAGAAGACGACGGGATGGGTTAAGACGTCCGCGCCACACAGTGCGAGGATATACAACGAAACTTAAAGCCAGCAGCAATCAGATATTCAAATTACGTTTACTAAATCAGCCCTCTTTGCGGGCTGATTTTCCTTTTTACCGTATCTCTCCCCTCCTCTTCTCACCCTCTCTTCTCTGTGTGTTCTCTTCTTTCGCAATCGCCCGCCTTGCTCGCTCGTTCGCTCCTCAGCAAGAAGTTAACGGACAAGTTTGCCCCTGTCCGACTGCTGCCGAGTTAACAATTCGGTTAGGAAGTTAGGGTCTTTTCCATCCTACCACCGCTATCCTACCTCCTTCCACCCTCTCCTAACGTTACGTCGTCGCCTAACGTTATTCGCTTTGTGACCTTTTTGGCGACGGCCAGTTCGATGGTCTTCTACTTGAAAGAGCTTGACTCCTCGTTACGCAGCAGACGTCGGACTTCGTGCTAGGAGTGAAAATCAGTAAATTCGTCGAGCGTCCGTTACTCCCGGAATAACAGAAACCAAGTGCCCGAGAAAGAGCGGAAGAGAAGAAAAGGGGGGGGGGGAGAGAGAACGAGCGCGGGAAGTAGCGCACTGCATTGCGGAAGATCTAAGTTTCGTAGCGCGAGTTGGAACTTTCGAGGAAAATTTCGCAATACGTTTTAGGTGACATTATACGTGTTAACTCTTTAACGCTGTTACACGCCAATTTCTGACTTGATTGCGCTGTTTGCTTTAAGTACATTATAATATATAATATATAATACATAAGATTCTTTTTTATAGCTATATAAATAATTTTAATTTTATTACGAAGAAATAGATAACTCAAGAATACGTTCCTTAACAATTTATGAAAAGCACAGCATTTAGACAGTAGGTTTAAATAGTGATAGAATTTAGGTCAAAATGTCTAGTGACTTATCGATCGCTATTCCTAGAAAGTAACATTTTCAGAATTATTTATGCCCTTTATGATTTCATTGATGTCATAAAATCATATCAGTCTTATCGAATACGCATATATTTATCGTATAATTTAGATTTAAATTTTGATAATGCTCAGATAGTATGTAAGTATGTCAAAATTAAGACATAAGACATCTTTATGTTCTAATTTTGGACATGCTGTTTAAGTATTTTTTTTTTAATTTGGGTCAAAAAGTTACCCTATTTTATAGTATTTGAAAATGTAATTTACGTTTATCCTTATTTTTTTTATTAATAAAAATTATTTTTTGATTAATTTCCTATTCATCCCTAGTGACGAATTTATTTGCATTCTTGAAGCTTATGTATACCGAGAAAAGAGATCCTTTCGCTTCTTAGAAAATGTTGCGTCTTTTATCCGTGATCGTGAGTCCCGCGCGTAAACGGAGAATGAGTTTAGTCTGTCATTTACCCTTACCCAACAAAGTAAAACATTTATTTAAAACTTAGGTCCTGTCAAAAGGTTGAATCTTTGTATACACTTCATTACCCCCTTTAAGCAATATCACACTTTGATGATATATAAATTGCTCCCTTGATATTTCTTTGCTATCGTTTTTACTTGTTATTTCGTACGAAGAATATAAAATCAATATAATATAATTAAGATAATTAAAACTATCGGAGAAATAAGATGACAAAGTGATATTTTAATTATATAGAACGGGTATATATAATTATTAAAATTGAAAATGAATAAGAAATAGTAAGTGTACAATATTCTTAATAGTACACAGAATGTCATTAAAATATATTGATATGTTTATAAATATATTTACATTCATTAAAATATATTCATACATGTATTTATAAATATCTATATATAGGGTGATCCAGACCACCCGCAAGAGCCGACATGTACATATTCTTCATGAAAAAGTGAGTCGAAAATATCAATAGTAAAATGTTGTAATATCAATAGGTTTTAAATGGTGAGCTTTTGAAGATGTCCAGCCAGAGCATGAAGTTCAAGCTGTCAGGTGCGGAGCAACTAAGCGGCCGGCCACGCGAACGCTTTGACGGATACCGCTAAATTTGGTATCGTTAAACGATATCGAACGAATATTGCAAAGGTTCGTGAAATCTCTATAAACATCTACTGCGGCATTCTTAAATTGAGTCCGATTTAATTGATAAGAAGTAATGTTAATTGCAAATTCGATTGCAACGTCATTTATATCAGTAAAAAGGATTTTTGAAATATGTTTGGATATTTATTTGGATAATTTAATTAATATTAATTTTATAAATTTATTTGTTTATTACTTAAAACATATTTCAAAAATCCTTTTTACTAATATAAATAAATGACGTATCGAATTTGCAATTGACATTACTTCTCATCAATTAAATCGGACTCAATTTAAGATGTTACGTAGTGCCGTTTAGCGGTATCCGTCAAAGCGTTCGCGTGGCCGCTTAGTCGCGCCGCACTTGACAGCACGAACTTCATGCCTTGTGGTTGGACATTCTCAAAGACTCACCGTTTAAAAACTATTGATATTACAACATTTTCATCATCACGGTCAAAGTTAGATGTTTCGAATGATACATATTCTTTATTAAATAAATTTATTTCAGATATGATTGCGCGCCGATAACTTTCGGACTTTCACCACCAATCAGTCTGAAAACGCTATTACTTACTCCCCTTAAATTCCCTCTAAATTAAATTAGAAAAGCTGTAAAGAATTTATTGCGAAAAATGTTATCTCAGCCAGGGTTCGAACCCAGGACCAAGGTCCGAACTTTTTAGACTGATTGTGTTGGAAGTTATCAGCGTGCAATCATATCTGAAATAAATTTATTTAATAAAAAATATATGTATCATTCGAAACATCTAACTTTGATCGTGATGATGTCGTATTTGATTTATTCATATATATATCTATATATACATAATCGTTCTAAAGAATATATATGTGTTTACAATATTTTGCTATTGACATTTTCGACTCACTTTTTTATGAGTAATATCTACATGCCGACTCTTGTGGGTGGTCTGGATCATTCTGTATAATAAACGTTGGTAAAGGGTTGGGCATGTATTTGAAATACTTTTATTTGAAAAACAGTATTGACAAGACAACTATATTTTGTATTTTATGGGAGCATATAAAAGTATTTTGTATTTTGTATTTCAGTATTAATAACAAAAGATTGAAAGTATTTTGTATTTCAAATACTAACACATTCATAATCAACTTTATTATTTGAATTACAAAATACAAAAAGCTTTTAATCTTTTGATTTTAAATACAAAATACGTAATAATTTTATGTGATCCACTGAAATAAAAAATACAAAATACGTTTGTATTGCAAATAGTGTGTTTTAAATAAAAGTATTTCAAATATATGCCCAGCCCTGATTAATGAATTTGTAGAGACAAACTTTTATATATATATTTATTTATATATAGATATATTTTAATGACTTCCTGTACAGGTACCTATTAAGCGTTATTATACATGTAAATACTTGTTCTTATTCATTCAAAATAGAAGAATTTAATACCGTATAAATCTTGTATTTATAATTATACAGTATATCGCTGAAATAAAAATGAGTAAATATATTTTTGTATGTATATCATGTTCTATTTTAACAATGAAAAGAAATAAAGCTGATCTCAGGATAGAGTATTTTTATTTCTTTGTTTTAAAAGAAATGTTAAAGAAAACTTTCTTTTTCAGTTTCCTATGCGCGCTTCATATGGATTCAACATAAACTTATAGAAGATTTACTTCGGCAATTACACTATAATATCAAACTAACTTATATATATATATATATATATATATATATTGATCACAATAAACTTTTTATTATTACTGACAGAAAAAGAAAGCGAAGGAAATGTATAAATGGAAGAAATAGAAGAAATTAGAAATAACAAAAATGGTACGCGTGTATGTATAATTTTATTGAGTATATTTCAGTAAAACTTTACCGCATACAATATAAGAAAGAAAAGAAAACTTTTCAATATATATAACATTTTTAAAGATTCTTAGAATGAATATGAAAGAAGTTCTCAAGGTTTGATGCGGCTATTTCAAGGACTTGACTTGTCTTTTGTTATCACGTGGAAAAGGAAGAAAAGGGGGAGAGAGAGAGAAAGTTTATCGGTGACTGTGCGTCTTAACATACTCGATTCGCAGTACGATCTCATCGTGATATCCTTGAGCGCGTCACATCGAACGGGCTCCGTCTGTCGCACCAAGTCCATTCCCCAGCTTTTTCACGTTTCTGCGGGTCGAACCGAGTTATAAATATGATAATACACGTGGCGCAAGCAGCAGTCACGAAATAACCCCTTTCGACCCCGCGCCCCTCTTGTACCACCGTCACTACCCCTCACCTTCTATGCTTCCGTCGCCTATCGAAAGGAAGTTATCCTTATCGACCGTCATGTATTACTCGTCGTCTTCTTTCGCCGCTTTACGATATTGGAAATCCGAAAACGCGAATTAAAGTTCCACCACCGTTACGGCGTCGACGCGACGTCTACGAGGGGACACCGTCGAGCGTCTCGACGCGACGTCGAGGCAGACACCATCTGCATTCGCGAATCGAAGGAGTAAAGAATGCGCGTATAAATTGATCGGCACGGTCGTTTCAGAAGAAGTCGCATTCCCGTTACGAAGAAATCGAATCCGTCGCGTTGGAAATCGACAAGATGATTGCTGATTTTGAAAGCAATGGATAGAATAATATAAAGATTTTCTTTGGAGATTAATATATTAAGAAATGTTAGCGTGAAAAAACGCGCTAGTCTTTTTTATTAGTTGCAGGATTGATGTGATTTATATATCAGTAACGATACGAATATGTCGGCAACGAGATACAAATGATTTGATTTAGAAATATTGAGATGTTCTTATTAAATCGATAAATCATAGAGCGTAAATATAAAACCAGTGCGCAATTTATGTATTGTGTGCATTGCAAATTTAATTTTTCTATTTTCTTCCATAGTTTATTAGTCGTTAAAGTTAGATCTTAATGAAAGTGTTTTCAACTGATGTAGTTATATAGCTTTTATTGTCGATTATATTATAGATACTTCTCACTTATCCACGATGAAATAGAACGTGTATGATTATTTTATATTGCGTATGTCAAAATGGAATAAAAGTAGAGAATGTTCGTTTTCAACTTACTTTGAAATTGTATAGGACGTTCAATTCATGTAAAAAGAAAATAAATTATTGGTTTTAGACGAAAAAAAATGCAATCTATCTTAAACCTACTTTCTTTCGTTATATATTTAATATAATCGAAATTGGCGAGATGACAATAATTCGAGGTCGTGGAGAATAAAATCCCAGTGCTTTCTTCGTATCGACATTATCGATATCTCATCAATCTCGATGGACCGATCGGCACAATGTGTGTTACGGTTCCGCTCTTGCGGAGGAAGACATGGATGCGCACTCAAGCGTCCACAGAGGCCGATGCCGATCCTTTGAATGCACCATTTACACGGTAAATACAAACACTGTGGCCCATTAGAATAATTAGTCTTGCCCCGTAGCCACTTAGTGTGCACAGCACACCCTCAATGCAACTAATCCGACTTTGTAGAAACTTTTTTTTGCTTATTTCTGAGAGTCTCGCAAGAGTATTTTGTTCTTTTTGATGGATTTTCCAAATATTTCTTTATCTTCCATATATCTTTTTGTTTTTTCCTGTGTGCGGATTTGCCAAATTACGTTAATACTGCAATCAGATTTATGTTTTCTGGGCTTATACAATTGTTATTTCAACTGGTAAATTATTAATTTCACGGGCGTATTTTTAATATTAACTCTCTTCTCTCTTGTTGGGTCTTCGAAGAAAATTTCGTGAAAATTTAGTTTATGAAAACGCAGTCAAGAGGTTGTCCATTTCTGTGGAGAATGTATTTTCGTAAACCAAAATCATTGCGCAGAGGTTGCTGCACGAGTTTGCGCAGCTGGTGATTTGTAAAATATGCAGCAGAAGTTCGTGAACGTATGCAGCAACGTCTTGACTATTCGGCCGTTTGTTACGTTTGAATTATTGTTCTGATATTTCAAAGAAGTGATCGTTGACTTTCCTCGTGGAATTGTATTATACGCATGAATTCTTTTGTCAGAATTCTTTTGTCTCCATATGTGATCGTAATTTAAGATACAACATGATACAACATACCAACATTCCTATATCACTTTCATTGCGACATACGTGACAGACGTAACAATAGTGCGGCAATTATTTGTTAGATACGAAAAGTCGCAATAAAATTAGCATCATTTATGTATATAGCTTTATAATAAATATTACTTTGTGTGATCAAAGGCAAATTTTTAATTTTATCATAATGGATTTATAGAGATAAGGAGCTAACTTGCAAAAAGTTTTCTCGCCTCTACGAGCGTAACGTTTTTCAAGGTAGTTTCTCGTCTCTCGCCACGGATATTCGACCATCGTATAGCAGAAGCTAATCCTTCCTTTGCTATTCATTTTAATTTCATTAAACGAGCTTATATGTATATGCTTGCGTACCCGGTCGTTCGTAATATTCTACGTAGCTCAGAATAGCTAGGTCTCCACTCTATTTATTCATCCACGTAATTCACAACCGGAAGGTGCTCACCGACCGGAAACGCATACACGGATGTGGCTATTGTTATTCGCTCTCGTAATGGTGCACCACCCTCAATCCCGGCTCGTCGTCCACCAATCACCCCCGTGGACTTTCCAGCAGCCGGACTTTCTTTCAGAAAGCGCTAAAAATACGGCTCTGCTTACATAGCCAGGAAACTTCGATTTCAGAATCGTCGTCTTGAGTTGAGGGCTTGAGGAGTCTGCGTTTTCGTTGCCTGATTTGATATCGCAGGACTTCTACGAAAACTGATCGCGATTTCGAGCCGAACTGAACCGAGAAGTTACAATGACGTGTATTGGTGATTAAGTTGACTTACATTTTCTGTATCAGAGATATCGAAATGAAAGTCTAGTCATGCACTGGTATGATTATAGAATGTTAAGAATATTCCGATGTTGATAATAGTTACGATATTTATTCGTAATAACAGAAACGTAATTATTAATTTGCAAGTCCAATTATTGAATTTAGATACAGTCTTTAGTATCGAAAATTGAAATAACTAATATTATTTCTTTGCAAATAAGAGCATTAAATGTTAATGCACATAGAATACTAAATTTCGATTTATTTAGACAATAATTATTGAGACAATAATTGATGTCTTAATTAATTGATGTTGCGAGAGATAAATATTACGGCATAGTTAATGATAATGAGATATATGTATTTATATGTAATCTCTTAAAATTCACTCTAAACTTTGTATTTTATTTTTGTTCAAGTTTGTGCGGATATTAAAATGAATAAATAACACGACAAAAAAAAAACACTAGAAATTAATCATTTCCCGTTTTTTGGTTGCTGAATACGAATCCGATTGCTTCATCACGTCACAATTTTAAGAAATTTGCAATTAAAGTTGCAAAAAAGAGTTATTTTCAACTGTAGGAATTCAACATACAATTAACCTATTAAAATTACTAATCTTGTTCCAGTTTGAAATAAATCATTTTTTTATCGAACAGTATAATTAAAGGTATTAATTTGGAAATATTAACTTTTTTCTTCTTTATCCTAAATATCTTAAATAAATAATAATTAACATTTCATCAAAAGAATTATTAAAAGAGAAACTTGAAAATAAGTAAGAGATTTGAAAGATCCTTCATCACCAATTACATCAATTTTTTCCGTACCACTTGTTAAAGGTTAAAACAGAAAAGCAGTGATTACCATAAATATTTATAGAAACATTTCTTTTCACAGGTATACTATTTATTAAAATATTATTCTGTTCCTGATTTATATACATGTATCTTTCAATTAAATTAATTGATTTTATTCTATTGCTATTCAACCTACATATAAATATGGATATGTATTCTGTATTGATTGGCCACATTGAAAGCACTGCCTTTCAATCTCCAGCTCTTTTATTTGTGTATCTAACAGGACTAAGAATATTTCAGTATCAATGAAACGTTTTGCAGTTTGAGTATTTTTAGCAATCATTTTCTGATCCTATTTTATCAATAGCTCGCTTTAAAAGAGCGCAATCATTTTCTGATCCTATTTTATCAATAGCATTAAAAGAGCTTTGTTGTAATATTGATCGTATAAGTTTTATGTGTATTTAATATTTCGTTTCTTTATCATAATCGCTTAATAAATAAATAAAACTTTTAAAAAAATATTGCACAAATAATCTTTTTCATTGCCATTAACTTTTAAATTACAAAGAAAATTAAAAATGAAAAGAAAATTAAATATATGCGTTCAGTTAAATAATTGCATTTGTTTTCCTTGTATGCTATTTGTCAATTAGTTTTCAGTGGATTATTTTAACAAATAGGAACATTTTAATTGAAAGAAGGGGGAGGAAAGGGAATAGAATATGTCTAAAAACAAAGAAATACGTTATGCGTTTACGTATGCGTTTTTTACGTGACGTTATAGCATCAATTGTTCGTTGGAATATCTAACAACGATTCGATTTGGATTCCTTCCATCGGAAAGAAAAAGTCATAATGGAGTTAAAACGATTCGAATCCGGAATTTCTCTTAGTGGAAGTTCCACGTGATTCCACGGTTTTGCGCTGAATCTCGGAATCATACGCATCGCGCAAGAACCACGAGCGAAATATTCGTAGCGTAGGGAATAACCCACATAATTACATAATGTGATATTCCATCGATATCAGTATGTATACCGTCTAACAATCACGTATCGATCATACGGCTACGACCTACGGCTGTTTTTTAGGAAACAGCGCGCGTAACCACCACCGTCAGCCGCTATCCTACTGCTATCCTATGGGCAAGGAATTACGATCTTTATTTGCGAACGTTCGTTACGAGAGTGAATCCCGTTCGAATCGCGAACCATTTTATTTGCAGTGCACTCGGGATATTGACGTAGGACGACGACAGCCGGATAACGTGTATAATTATACTGCCGTATCAAAGCATTTTCGGAACTATCTGCAATTTAAGAAGCCGTCCCACCAATTAAAAAGAAGGGATAATTTTGGCGGAGAAACTTGGC